AGAGAGAGAGAGAGAGAGAGAGAGAGAGAGAGAGAGAGAGAGAGAGAGAGAGAGAGAGAGAGAGAGAGAGCCACAGCCTGCAGAAGGTGCTGATGCACGATAGCTACAAGAGATAGAAGAAGCTTACCTAGAGAGTGTGCGTCACAACTCGACGTGTTCAGCCATAGCTGCTGCAGAGAAGACCAGTAGTTGCATATACTCTCCACATTCTTCATCCAAGAGTCAAAGGCGTTGTTGTGGACTAAAGAGCTTGTCTGGCACCATAAAGAGGATGGTCTGGTCAGGGTTGGGAAACTGGAAGGTGGAAGGTGGAGGCAACCATGGCACAAGGGTTGGCAAGCCAGTCACAGAGGGGTAAGCTTCGTCCTCAGGTGTAAGAAGCTGACCCCTGTTGACTGACTGGCGGCCATAGCTACCTGAGGAAGAAGACGGCCATAGCTACCCCTGAGGAAGAAGACGGCCATAGCTACCCCTGAGGAAGAAGACGGCCATAGCTACCCCTGAGGAAGAAGACGGCCATAACTACCTGAGGAAGAAGAGTAGTCCAAGAGGAGGGAGACCAGCGCCAGCGTTCGGCATCCCGCACTTCATCCTGTTGGCGATTGTGCCGTGTGCAGAGAGTGTGGGTGGCACTCGTGCTACCATCTTCCGTCGAACATAACTCACTCACCCCCACCCTTGAACGTATCGGACCGGAAATTTAGCTTGTATACATTCATAATGAGGGTGCATTATTTTCAGGGAAGGACGGTGGCGAGGTCATGGGATGAGAGAGAAGGCCGCCACCATAGCTTCAAGGAAGTGAAGTGGTCGTGATTTGGAGGACGAAAAAGACTCCGCGTGCTGCCGCGGAAGATTCGACATTGTCATTTCCAGTGTCAACTTCATTATGCTATATAGCCTGGGATAGCCAGTTGTTGTTGTTGCTGTTTTTTTTTTTTTTTTTTTTTTTTTTTTTGCCACTGCTGTAGACAAGTTGGCAAGTGACATTTGTGTCCAGACTGGTGTTCGAGCCGTCGAGAGATGCAAACTATCGGTGCCTTGAGGTGGTGACAATCTTTTTCTTTTTTTTTTATGAAGTCAGCGGAGATTCCAGTGGAAGAAGAGGGAGAAACAGGTTGAAATAATTAATTGTTTGTACATCTGAAAATAACTCACTCCATTGATCGTCTTCTTCACATAGTAGTATCATCTTTTCTGTAGAGTCTAAACTGTCTCTTTTTTTTTTTTTCTTTCTTTCTTTTTTCACAAGAACAACCCGAGTGGATGCTAGGGGTGCTTTTGTTTTTCCTTTCTTTTGATCGCTGGTAACCGTCTTTTTTTTTCTTTTTTTTTTTTCACAAGAACAACCCGAGTGGATGCTAGGGGTGCTTTTTTTTTTCCTTTCTTTTGATCGCTGGTAAGTTGTAACTGTCTTTTCTTTTTTCTTTCACAAAAACAACCCGAGTG